GGGGACAACCATCGGGACAACCGACGGGACAACCATTGGGATAACCATCTGGGCAACCATCGGGACAACCATCAGGACAACCATCGGGACCTCCATCGGGACAACCATCGGGACAATCATCGGGACACCCATCGAGATAACCATCGGGTCAACCATTTGGACAACCATCGGGACAACCATCGGGACTACCTTGGGGCAACCATCGGGACAACCATCGGGACAACCTTGGGACAACCAGGAAACAACCATCTGGACAACTGCAGGACAACTGCGAGGCAGCGACCGTCAACTGGACGAGGAGATCATTCTGCTCCAACTTCGCCATGACAACGGCGGGATCACCCTTCTCGTCTGCGAGCGCAGCTTCGCCTTTCCCGCACGCGCGACACGAATGCGAAACCGCAACCATTTTCCCGGTGGGGTGTCTCCATTTCTCTTTGATCTCACCCCCAATCTCTGGCCCGAAAATGTTGGGATCTATGCTTGAATAAGCTGTGAGGCTGACACTTTTTTTGATTCGCGGGTCGATAGCGCACCTCTTCTGGTCGAAGCTAAGCGGGCCGCGCGAAACTTTAATTAACCATTGAGGGGGAGGAAAAGTGGGAGGGGGGGGGCGCAGCCTCAGAACGAGGCCGGGAGGAGGCAAAGCTTCGGGATCAGGCGATGCCATAGTCGACGTATTTGCAAAGGCGCGCCTTTACCAGGAACCCGGTGGCGAAGCTCCGGCAGAAGCAAAATGTTGTGGTTAGCAACGGCTCATCATTTACACCAGCCTCGAGTTGGCGGCGAGAGGTGACGCGCCTTGCACCCAAGCTGCGTCAGGGATCAGGGAGAGTGGACAGCGACGCTGAGGCGAAGTGCAACGTTGTGCCATCGAACAGGTAGCCGGAGCGAGTGCCCCAGGGCCGTGGTCGTCCAGGGTGCCACGGGTCCAGGGTACGGGAGCCGCAGTGACTTGAGGCGCGGCAGTCAGGACACGTCAGGAACATGCCGCCTGTGACGACCGACAGGGTGCCGGTGTACTGGAGCAGGAGGTAAGTCCTGTCCTGCAGGGGCGAGCGCACAGGACCGGGCCGAAGCCGCGCTGTGCCAGGGCGCTGCCGTTGTCCGCGGGGCCCAGGGCCGGGCCGGGCCGCGCTTCGCCCAGGATCGCGGGCCCGCCGAGGCGGCAAGGTGAAACAGGACCATCGCGTGCGAGCGCCGGGCACCGGGCCGAAGCCGCGCTGTGCCGGGCGCGGCCGCCATGTGGGAGAGGGGGGGTCGCGGGCGGGGAAGGGGGAAAGCGGGCAGGGAGGAGAAAGGCCGGCCAGGCGGGCCTGCCAGCGCCGCGGAAACCCCGCGCCGACAACCGGGCGGCCCCACCAGCCACTGGAGGCAGGTGGAACCTGCGGGGTGAGGGGGATTGGGAGGAGAGGAGGAGCAGGATGATGAGGAGGAGACGGAGGGGGAGGGTCAGGAGGAGGAGGAGGACCGGGAGGACTTGGGTGAGCACGAGGCGGACAAGGAGGAGTGGCAGCGCCAGCAGCACCCGCATCGGCCCCGTCGGCCATGCCGGCAGCTGCGGCGGAGACAGCTAGGCAGCTGCTGCCGCTTCGGTGGTCACTGCCCCAAACGTGCGGCGTCCTGACTTTCCAGCGATGACGCCCTTGGAAGTCCCGACCCGCTCCCCAGGACCGGTTTTTCCTTCGAGTCGTCCCTGGACGGTCCCGAGGCTCGGCGAGGGCCCCCCGGGGCCGAAGGTCGCCAAACATCGGCTGTACGCAAGAGCGACCTTGGGCAAGAGTGACCTTTGGTGCGCGGCTTTTTGGGGGCCGTGGGGGGACCAAACCTGGGCGCGCAGGCAGCTGCCACTGCTTCGCTGTCAGCCACCTGGGGACCCGCCCGTGCCCGCACCGACAGGGGCACTCCCGCGAGAGGCCACTCTTAGGTCCAGCCGGGGAAAATACAGCCCCCCCAGAAAACCTCCCGTGCTGATTCTGGACGCCCGGCATGGGCACGGAAATAATGGGTACTATGCCCAAAAGCAGTTTCTGTTCATTCTGAACAGGATTCGGTGTCCACGCCGCCGCGGCCTGTGTTCATTTGAGACAGCAGGCCGCCTGCCCAGCAGCGGCCGCCGTTGGTTCGGGACAACATTTGCTGTTGGGCAGGCATTGTGCCCATGCTTTCCGTACCCATTTCGGGCGTACAGTCGGGGCCCTGAAGAAGGAACCCTTTTCGTTGGGGAGGGGCTCCGCGTTCCTGAAGTGTTTCACAGCTTGCCTCAGGCTTCCCTTATGTTTTCGATCGGAATCGAAGTTTGACTCATGGAAAAAAAGGGCCTCGTTCCTTATTTAGGGTTCCTTAGGTCAAGGCCCCGACTGTACCCATTCGGGGCGTATGTGTGACGACGCGATCGTGCCTCGGGGCGGCGGCGGGGCAGGACGACGTCGCCTTCGTCCAGACGGGCGCCCAAGTCCTCCGGCCCGGGCCCGCGGGCGCGGCCCCGTCGGCCTTCGCGGCGGGGCCCTCGGCGCCCGCCTCCCTCCTCCTGTTCCTCCTCCTCCTCCTCCTCCTCCTCCTCCTCTTCGTTTTCCTCCTCCTCCTGTTCCTCCTCCTCCTCGTCCTCCTCGTCCTCCTCCTCCTCCTCCTCGTCCTCCTCCTCGTCGTCGTCCTCCTCCTCCTCCTCCTCCTCCTCCTTCTCCTTCTCCTCCTCCTCCCCCTCCTCCTCCTCGTCAGCCGTTCCGTGCCCGAGCGGCCCGTCCCTGCGTGGACCGCCAGGGCGTTCCCGTCGCAAACTTCGGAGCGGCGATGCTTCGGGGTGCCGTAAAGAAGCATGGTGCCATCAATAAACGCCGTCGCCCGCAGTGGCGGCGCCGCGAATAGGCGCATGCGGGGCCGCCAAGATGCCCCCCCCTTCCTTTCGCCCTCTCCCCGTCCGTTTCCCCCTTCCCACCCTCCTCCTCTTGGCAAGCAGGGGTGATGCCTTACAGCGCACAGCCCAAGAATCGCAGGGGCCCGACGCCTTCCTCAGCCACAACGCTGGAATCAGCATGTGCGAGAAGTGCGAGAAGTGGCAGCAGTCTCTGGCCCGACTCCGCGAGCGGGAGAGAGTAGGGATACAGCCCGCCGTCCTCAGCTACAGCGCCGAAAGAAGCGCGTGTGAGAAGGGTGGGCAGTGGCAGCAGGCTCTGGCTGGGCTCCGTAAGGCGGAGGTGAAGCTGGTGCCCGACGTCGTTCACTACACCGCTACAGTCGGCGCGTGCGAGAACGGCGGGAAGTGGCAGCAGGCTCTGGCTGTGCTCCGCGAGACGGAGGTGACACTGGAACCAGACGTCCTTACCTACAGCGTTGGTATCGACGCGTGCGAGAAGGACCAGCAGCGGCATCAGGTTCTGGCTGTGCTCCGCGAGACGGAGGTGGGACCGGAACCAAGGCATCCGCAGGAGAGGGTCATCAGCTACAGTGTTGGTATCAGCTCATGCGAGAAGGGGCGCAGTGCTCTCACCCGGCATTGCGAGAAGGGCGAACGTGGGAGCGGGGTCATCAGCTACAATGTTGGTATCAGCTCCCACGAGAAGGGGCGCAGTGCTCTCACCCGGCATTGCGAGAAGGGCGAACGCGGGAGCGGAATCATCAGCTACAATATTGGTATCAGCTCTTGCGACAAGGCGCGCAGTGCTCTCGCCCGGCATTGCGAGAAGGGCGAACGTGGGGGCGGGGTGCCCAGCTACAATATTGGTATCAGCTCTTGCGAGAAGAAGCGCAGTGCTCTCATCCAGCATGGCGCGACGGGCGAACGCGGGAGCGGGAAGCCAGCTACAAAGCAGGTGTGGGCTCTTGCGAGAAGGCGACCAGTGGCAGCTTCTGGCACTGTGGCACGGCGAACGCAGGGGGGGGTCATCAGCTACAACGTCGGTATCTATCCTTGCGAGAAAGCGTGCGGGCATCAGCTCGCGCGCGGAAGGGCTGGGAGTCAGTGGAAGCACCTTGCGAGAAGCGGGGGGCGAAGCTGGGGCCCAATATTGTCGGGCACTCTGTGGCAAGCCTCTTGCGAGAAGCGGGGGGCGAAGCTGGAGCCCACTAGTGTCGAGAGCTCAGGGCCAACCTCTTGCGAGAAGTGGGGGGCGAAGTTAGAGCCCAGTGTCGGCGGGGGCTCTGTGAGAAACCTCTTGCGGGAAGCGGGGGGTGAAGCTGGAGCCCATTTTAGTCGAGAGTTCTGGGCGAGTTTCGTGCGAGAGGTGGGGGGCGTAGCTGGAGCCCAATATTTTAGCTACGACGCTGGCATCAACTCGTGCGAGAAGGGGAAGGCAGGCAGTGGCAGCAAGGACTGTCAGGCGTGTCCGCCGTGTTCTAGGCCAAGCTTTTCTGACGGTCGGTGTAAGTGGAAGGTATTGTGAAGGAGGTGTCCACCATCCCGAACGAGAAAGGCCAAGGGTAGACTGATTCGTTATGGGAGTGCGGCCATTCACCAGGAACGCCTATGTAAGTACGGCTTGCAAGGCGTGAGGCGGCTTGCGTGGTGCTTTCCATCTGCGTAAGTCCTAAGTAACACAATCCTAACACAATCCTCCTCCTCGTCGCCCTCCTCCTCGTCGTCGTCCTCCTTCTCCTCCTCGGGCGCGTTTGCCTGCAGGAGGGACATCCCCCAAAAGTCCAAAGATAGTCTGGGGAGGGTTTTTATGAATTTTTGGTTCACAGTGGGGGCGCGCATCGAGAAACCAGCTGCTTTTCGTCAGGGTATCCTGGGTCTCTTCGCTCCTCGCGCTGCGCGGTGACTTTCCGCAGCCGTTGAAGGAGCTGCTGCGTTCGGGGTGCTCCGGGTTTCCCCTCTGGTGTACCTCGCGCGCGGGTTCTCAGGGTTGGGTTTCTTGCGAAGGTTTCTTGCGGCTGCGCCCGCGCTGTATGTTTGAAACTATTTTGAGTGTCTCCATTTTACCAAAAAGTTTATACAAATAGTTTGGGGATGATGTTTTTTTTGTTGTTCTCGCATTTTTTGCGGATGCTTGACCATACTTTGCGTGTCTTCATCTTGGGTTCAAAATTCGCCTGCAGGGGGACATGCCCGATCTATCTCTACCTTCCCTCGGGTGACCTTCCCCGTGCGGGCGCAGGCCCACTCGGCATCGGAGGTCAAACGTTGTCCCCAGACGTCCAGCGTCTCGACAAGTCGAGTTGTTTTAAACTGCGTGTCGTTTTCGGCCTCTCTGGGCCCTCACTGGGCCCTGGGGCTGTCGGAGACGACTCGGGATGGACCAGCCCCAGGGAAGTGGTCGACCAAATCATCCCGTTGCTCCACTTTTTTCGATGCGTGGGCCCCCGAGGTTTGGGCCATTTCACCATAGGGCCAGTTTTTCGTCCTGAATACTTGTTTGACGTTCCCGAGGCCTGGCGAGGGCCCCAGAGGCCGAAAACAGCCGACAACAGCCCGCTCCCATTCTTTTTGGAGCCTTTGGATCTTGTCTCGATACGGTCGAGACGCTATCTGTCTGGATTGGGTTGGTAGACGGTCTCGGCTCGTGGCAGTTCTATCCATGGACATCGGCCTTTGCCAGGGAGGAGGAGGAGGAGGCGGAGGAGGAGGTGGAGGAGGAGGAGGACGAGGAGGAAAGGTAGTAGGAGTAGGAGTAGGAGTAGGAGTCAAGCTAGCCAGCTCGAGCGAGTCAAGCATGGCATGCCCAGTCCCACCCGCCCTCCCACAACATAAGAAGCAAAGCTGGCACAACTGGGGGCCGAAGTCACACCGGCCAGCCGGTTTGGTACAGCTGATGCGGCCGCGATGGCGGTTGCCGACGGGAACTGGCGAGCGCGTGTTGAATGCCGCGCACGCATTGCCAGACGAACTGTGTATTGTCTTTTGCAGATTCGAATGGGACGGATTGGATGGGCGGGCGCGGGGTGTGCGCCGCGTCCCGTTCCTGCCATGCATTTTGCGACGTGGACGACAGGACGTCCATGCGACGGTGCCAATGACGGCGACGACTCTAGAAGGATTTGAGCATGCGCTCGCGGCGACGCGCGCGCATGTCGCCCGCGTGATATTTTTTGCACAGGATTCGCGGCCTGGGTGCATGACAGAGCATCGCGAGTGCACCGCGCGATGACGTGAAATCGCTGGATTTGACAGAATTCTTAAGATTCCTATGGTTTTCCTATGATTTCAGCAAGAGAGCCCGGGCGGGAAATTTGTACAATTTTTGTGAAAAAGCATTGGGTTTTTGATGTTTTTATGTTGAAATGCTTGCAAACACACGGTGTTCGGTAGGATTCTGACATGAACGCGCGCGTGTGCTCTTTGTGGTGTTTTTTGCAATGGATTATCGCCGTGGACGACAGGACGTCCATGTCGAGAGGAAAAAATAAGAAAAATATTGATTTTGTATTGTTTTTTGCAGGTTAGGATGGGACCACCCGGATGCGGCCCCTATCGGCCGGCCTGAGAGGGGAGTAGGAGTATATTCGAATAAGGAATAAAGATAGGAGCAGTAGTAGGAGCAGTCGGAGCAAGCAGTAGGAGCAGTAGCAGTAGTAGTAGTCGCAGTAGCAGTAGTAGTAGTAGTAGTAGTAGTAGTAGTGGTAGTAGTAGTAGTAGTAGTAGTAGTAGTAGTAGTAGTAATAGTAGTAGTAGTAGTAGTAGTAGTAGTAGTAGTAGTAGTAGTAGTAGTAATACTAGTAGTGGTAGTAGTAATAGTAGTAGTAGTAGTAGTAGTAGTCGTAGTAGTAGTAGTAGTAGTAGTAGTTGGACTTCTTCGGCCTCCGGGGGCCCTCGCCGGGCCTTGGGGGCGTATCAAAAACCGGCTCAGGACGAAAAGCCGGCCCCAGGGAAGTGGTCAGCGGACCCCCAGGGCCCGTGCATCGATCAAAAATAGGAGCAGCTGGATGTCTGGGGGGAGAATTGGACGCCCAAAAGGGGCAGGGAACCATGATTGAAACACTGTTAGATTGTTTTAAACATGTTAAACATATTCATCATTTAATGATAGGATTGTTAGAGTGTCCATTGCCATGGAATCCACAAGCTTGGCTTGGGTTGGCCCTGAAGGCAGCGCGACGAAACTGGCCCCCCCCCGAGCCGAGGGCCCTCGTCGGGGCTGGGATCCTTGGGGGCCGCTTCCGCGCGCTGGATTGCGCGGCGACCCAACTCCCTCACGGCTCAAAAATCGCCGGCTTCAGCCCGAGGGCACGGAGGACCTCGCCCCGCTGGTGTTTCTCGCAATCTTGTCTTGGGTTCACAATGGTCCTCCTCCTCCTCCTCCTCCTCCTCTTCCTTCTCTCCTGCTCCTCCTCCTCCTCCTCCTCCTCCTCCTCCTCTATTCCTCCTCCTCCTCCTCCTCCTCCTCCTCCTTGCGCAGAGCGCCCGCGCGGCCGCTCTAGCAGCGCCGCCCCCGCGCCGCCCCGCGACGACCTGGCACGGGCGGGGGCCTTCGCGGCGCGGTCGGCCTCCTCTCAGGAGGAGAACAAACACACGGACACAATGAATCGTCGATTCCCCAGAAAGTATGGGAAAATATGGGCAGTGGG